CAGATAAACTATAAAGTTTTACTGAAAAATAAAACACATTTGAAATGCATTTAGGAGGTTTTAGGGATTACATAAAGGAAATTTGAGATTTTTGAGATGAGGAAAAGTATTTTTAATTTGAACATGAAAATTACTTTGCATATGACTATTCAAAACAAATACTCAATATATTCATGGACAAATCTTTATTTATTTTATTAAAAATACTTCACTGAAAAATATGATTTTTTGTGTGAAAGACTTGTAATGTTAACTGAAAGACTGCCAAATTTCATGATGATATACGAACTATATTGATAGTTATAAGTATTAAAATCTGTAAAAACTTTAAATGAGTACAAAAAGGTCACATGGTTGGTCAAATTGACCAAGCCCATCTTGAGAGAATTAAGACAATGCTGATGAAAAGAATGAAGTTTTTGAGTGTAAGTGCTTAAGGGGAGTTACAGCACAAAGAGGTGTGTCACCTTCCCACTGGTAGATGGATATTGTCTCATAATGATACCATCATGCACTAGTGCATTTCATGTTAAATACATGATTTTTAGGTGGGAGTTAGTGCAAGTCTAGTGGCATGGAAATCTCAAAGGCAGGCGTGCAAGGGATCAAACTATTTGTTAATATCCTGTATGAGGTATCATCTAAGAAATACTAATTTCCTTAAACAATAACTGATCTAGCTCTTAATAAATAAGAATCCCATTTACCTACTATACCTTAACACACAGGTATGCACATACAAGAACTGGTCTACATAATCATAACAAATAAGAATCCCATTTAACATTTACCTACTATACCTTAACACACAGGTATGCACATCCAAGAACTGGTCTACATAATCATAACAAATAAGAATCCCATTTACCTACTATACCTTAACACACAGGTATGCACATACAAGAACTGGTCTACATAATCATAACAAATAAGAATCCCATTTAACATTTACCTACTATACATTAACATACTGGTTTTCTTGAACAATAACCTGGCTAGATCATCATAATAGATAAGAATCCCATTTAATGTTTATCTATTATACCTTAACATACTGGTTTTCTTGTATGTTTCTGCCTTTTACCCGTAAAACACATGCTTGGGTGTCAAAGTCTACATTTTCTACTAATGTTTATCTATTATACCTTAACATACTGGTTTTCTTGTATGTTTCTGCCTTTTACCCGTAAAACACATGCTTGGGTGTCAAAGTCTACATTTTCTACTCTAACGGTAAGTGTTGTTCGAACACGGTTGCTGCCCACACTACCCGTTGAGGATTCTGTTGTCACCTTTCTGTAATATCATAAATTACATACATGAAAGCTGTTATACATATAAACATAAGTAAACAGATAATAGAATGAACAATGGTGAAAATGTTAAAAGATTATGCAATACACCAAAATATAAGATTTTTTAGGTTTCCAACTCATTAATAACCTAACTAGGAAATGGACATCTGACAGGTTTAAAAATCTTAACTTATTTTTACTGTCACAATTCCTTACAGCATGAAATTTTGTGTTGTGTGTGTGTGTGTGTGTGTGTGTGAGTAGGGATATATTCAACTTTATTAAAAATCAGCTACTGCTTTACAGAACGTAACTATAAATAAATTATAATGGCTTTTAACAGATAGCTATACTACATTAAGTATATTCCTTTAAAGCATATTTTGTTTACGTGTTATCTTTGTTAAAAAAAAAGGAAATATATTTACATAAAGATTAAGAAGTACGCACATTTGTAACTGTAGAAATGTGTCCAAGTTGTTCTGTAAGTATAGAAATGTGTACAAGTACTGGCAGAAAAAAATGTTTTCATTAAAAAATAATAATAATTAGCTAAAAATAAATATTCACTCCATTCTGTATATCAACAATATCAAACTATCAATTGTGAGTTTCTTAATCATTGAGGCTTTAGAATTGTCTCCTTTTGTACAAGATTATACATATTTTATATACCAACCATATCAAGCTTTGAATAGCAAGAGGTATGTAATGGTTGAGGCTCTGAGATGGTACAAGATTACGTGCGTTTTATACATTAACAGTATCTAACTTTGAATAGCAAAAGTTAACTAACAGTTGAGACAGCAAGAGTGTGTCCTCTTGCTACAAGATTATATACATTATCTGCACCAACAATATCAAATGTTCAATAACAAGAGTTACCTAATGGTCAAGTCTCTTAGACTGTCTCCTCCTGCTACAAGATTATATACATTCTCTATACCAACAATATCAAACTCAATAGAAATAGTTACCTAATGGTTGAGGCTCTGAGGCTGTCTCCTTCTGCTACAAGATTATATGCATGCCACATGTCCTCGGATTCCTCAGGAATAATGGACACACTTCTAAAACAATGAAGTAAAACAAGTGTATAAAAAATTATCACATTGGAGTATTTAATACAAACATAAATTTTGGCATATACAGAATTCGAAACTCTGTAAAGCAAATATTACCAATAGAATATACATAAATGCATGTAAATAAATAAAGATAACAAAATGACAAAAATTGTTCTATAAAAAAACATTAACATCAGTATTTAGCCAAAACAGGATAAATTTAATCAATAAATGTTCATAATGAAACTATCAAACCTAGATTAGGAAAACTGTTTAGTATATGTTAGACAGTTGTCTTCTCCCACACCATCTTATTCATGATACTTTAAATGGTAAGCCCACCCTGAAGACCATAAGAACAAATTGTCACTTACAACCATACTATCTACTATTGATAACTCATGTAAAATGATTTTTCTAATGATTTCTGAGGTGTGATTTATGACACTACAGGTGTAAAGCTTGGTAGTGCATTAGTGAACTACAAACTAATACTGGTGTTCTAAATTGTGGATTGTGAATAAGTTGAAAAGTTACAACAATTATTTTAGAAATTAGAAGTTATTTTCTTTTTTTTGGAAATTCTAATATATTCATAAAAGTTTCTTCATGTTCTTACTGTCTGGTCATACAACTGGGTAAGTATTTCATTTAAAATTTTCACACATTATTTACTAAGAGTTTGGAAATTAGTGGATATTCACGATAGATTAATTGCTGGGCTCAATAATTGATTATTTTTAACTAATCACTTATTCTCACATGAGACTTAAATAGTTGGAATAATTAGAAATAGTACTAATCAGGAACATTGATTTTGATTAAATTTAACAGCCTTGAATTAAATGAAATAAGAATGAGAACTCATATTGATAATGACAATATTTAAATTATTTGATTATTTCCATGACGTTCATCAATTTAATTGTAATTTTGATTAATCTATTGTTTTAACTGACATTAATCAACGTCCTTAAATCTCACAGGTAATTTATTATATCAACAAACTGAGTTAATTGTCCAGCTTTACTATGCACACAAGGGTTATTTGAACATACGTAATCTACTTCACATCATAACATTTGTTGTTCATGAAAACTAATTACAAGAAAACACCTAGACCACCACTGTGTCTGTTATTCCTGACTAGTCTGATGGGCCCTAATATTGAGTAAGGGGCCTTAAAAGTGCTGGATATGGTAGATATAGTGTGGTTGACATATTATTGTAAATTCCTCTTTGCTTTCATACACAAGTTCCTAGAATAGAACAGCTATCCCTGATTTTGAACTGACAAACTAGGGAGAAGGCTTCTAGTCAACAACCCCCACTGTCAATGCTTAGACTACTCTTGTCTAACTGCATAGTAGGGTTTGGCATCACTTTGATAATACACTCAAAACCCCCAAAGTTTCTATGGCAATGGGATGCAAAATCATGAATTCATAAAATCATATTCCAGGCACAATAACAACTAGGCAATGTTTGATCCTTCTTTTTAGTATTCTTAATGTTATTGATTGAATGTTTTAAACTAAGAGTATAATTTAACTCTTTCAGCATATGCTTGGTCGCTGAAACTGACATCGTAATCATTTTGTGCTTGTTATAGTTTTCATGCTATAACTTTTAAACTAGTAAGTGTATGTTAACGAAATTTGGCAGGTTATCTGCAAACATTACAATGCTTTCATATGCAAAATATCAGATTATTTTATTAAGTCTTAAGGTTTGTTAAACAATGGTTTTCTCATGGCATTTTCTTTTCTTTTTGCATGTTGCCTGTCCAACATGCAAAGTAATTTGCATTTTAAGATTA